ATGTTGGTGTGCCACTGATTTGATATTTAAATATTTTACTTAGATTAAAATTTGTATAAATAATATCTCAAAGACATAAAACTAACGATACACTTTTACTTATTGATTTGAGGAAAGACATTGATTTATTAATTTCCTATTCAAGACTTGGTTATAATGGATGTAAAGATTATCCTAAAGGATAAAATTCATGTTCACTATCATTTTAATTGATCCAAATTAACCCATGATAGCTTATTTAGTCGACATTCAGAGATTTTTCTCTCTTTTAGCGAAACTAAGACAGGGATTTATTTTACAATGCTAGGATTTTTGGTTCCTATATAGGCAAGCCCTACAGTCTGATAACTTATCGAAAGGAAAAACTTCTAATTAAAGTGGAGATATATAATTAAACTTAAAATATAATATTCATAGGTGGTAGTTGCGCTTAGATATTTTCAAATAACAAATCGTTCCTTTAAAAATATCATTAAGTTTTTATAAAATTTATTTTTTTGAAACTTAATATATATAGCTATAGTTTATATTTTATAAGAGATAAGAAGATATTCATATACTTCTGGGTTTATGCTGCTTTTAGAAGAGCTGATATCTAAAAACCATTATATACACAAAACAATCACCCCTACATGAAAATGTAGGGATAAAAGTTAGATATTCCTAAGAAAATCAATAGGAATATATCAGCTCTTAAATTAGAAAACTTGAGATGAGTAATTTTAATTAAAGTTTTAGTGACACAATGAGAAGACTCACTTAGAAATTCTACATTTATTTTAATATTGTTTAAAATGGCCCTAACACTAGAAAGATAGCACAACATCGTTCAACATATGAGAGGACTTCCACACCTTATTGTATGCTTGCTTTGTGTTGTGATATATGTTGCATAATATATATATATATATAGAAAAGGTGTTCGTGTATATAGTACCTAGTAGTATTGTATCATCCTATAACTAATATATATGTTCCTATAAAGTTCAAAACACATAAACTAAGGAAAGCCTACAAAAATTCTATCCATTAAAATCTATCCCCCATATGATGCAATGTACGAATGCAATGCAATAAATGAAAGAACTACATAAATTAAGAAATTTTATTTATTGATTGATTGTAAGATTTATAATAGACTCAGGCTCTACAAGAAAAAAAAAGGTGGTTAGGCTCAACCACAACAAATCTAAGTTCTAAGCCTAGCATATATGGATTCAAATACATATGCTTAAGATCTTTGAGCTTCAAGTATTCTGTGAAATTTCAAAAGAGATTATCCTCGAAATGAGAGAACATCATCTTTTGGAGCCCCATTTGTATGTATAAACAAGTTTATTTGAACCTTATATAACTCATGATGATGTATAACTCAATCTAAATATAAATTATATTTATAAACACTTATACATATACATCATGTTTTAGGTACATTTTACTTTATGTCTTATAAGAAATATAAAGAGTTGAAAGGTAAAGCATTATCATATAAATAAAGTG